TACACGGCAGGGACTTAGTGGGTTTGCACCACCTCTAAATAACCTAAGTGTTGAAATTTTCTCCTCCTTTTTTTTTACCAGAGTGTTGAAGACGGATAATAAAAGTTGGATAGCATTAAAAGTTACACCACTCCTAGTTCACACTAGATAAGTTCATAAAGGAAATCAAATCTTCAAGAAGAACATTTCTTTTAAGACCTCAATAAATAGCACACTAGTGTTTTAGGTAGCTTCTATAATGATGATAAACGATGCACTGGTCGTTCCACTTGCATTCACGACCATCATCGACACATTTGTGATTGGGATGTAAATGCGTTGTTTGCAACCCAAAAAAAGGATAAACTTGTTATAAAGAAGAAGAAAAAGCGAAAACTCTAGCAGATAAATTTATTTTTTTTGCCCCTCAAGCCCTTCAGCGCCTGAGCCTCATCTTGGGGGAGGTGGTCTGCCCCTCCTCCCCGCCCTCTTCCTTTCTCTATGTCTCTCCCTCCTTGATTTTGGTTTTGCCCCTCTCTATGGTGTTTTTGTGCATTCTTTACCATGGTGGTCTATTTTGTCTCTAAGGTCAGCCATTGAGCCTTATTTATCACTGGCCCAAGAAAATGAAAATGAAAATGAAAATGAACAAAATTGGAATGGGCTTTGAATTAAGCCCGATGTGTGAGACTTAAAATAATACGCAAGAATTCTATAGTGAGGACTTTATATATTACTCTTAGGTGAGGCCTTATCTCTTAACCATTGAATCAAATTGTTTAGCCTGATTCAACAATTAAGAAATAGAACCTCACCTAAGGGTCATATATAAAACCCTCACTATAGAATGACTCTGCTACTTGCTAGGCAGCTTGGTGAGGCACTATATTTGTTTTAGGCCGGCCCAAAACACAGCCAAAACTCTTCTCTAACTTTTCTTGGCCTTGTCGAAGCTCCAAATCTAGGATCAGCAATGATAATATGAATTCTATATACTGCTTTCAAGGAAGAAGTATGAATTTGATTGTTTAGTTTATTTTCCTTGGTATACTTTTATTTTATTTCATTGATGTTTTATGTTTGGAGGCCGATGAGATGCCCTCAAAAAAAACCTCTATATGCATGACTCCCATTACAAAATATTAAAATAATAAGATTAACTATGGTTAATTTTTTTAACATGTTGCATAATCAAAAGGGGAAAGGAGAAAAGGAAAGTGAGCAAACTCAGACTCTTGAATCATGTGTGCACGTAAATTGAGTGAATTTATTTTTCATCTTCCTCCTGTGAATGTCAGTATGATTTTGACATGAAAATTATCCTTTTCAGTAACAAATTAGTGTATAGTTTTACAATTGGGAAAAGTATTTTTCTTGACATGTCAAGAGAAAACTATAAGAATTTGATAAAGTTCCAAGAGAGAAAGTCCACATATGGGTTTAATTTGATTATTTTAAACATGCAAATCATTTGAGATATTAGAGAAAACTAAATTGAAAACCAAGCTATGTAACCAAGTTGGTTTTGGAAAAGTTAATATTATTTTGAATAAGAACAAAAAGATAAATTGGAGGAGATGATATAGCCTAGGGACTCTATCTGCTCAAACTCTTCTATATACCCAAACTCATCCTCTTCAACTTGGCAAATCATATATCCTGCCCAAAGTTCACATGTTAAACTAGGGTAAATTGTCGAAATGCCCCTTGAACTTGTACCTAATTATCAATTTATTCCTTGACTTTTTTTTTTTCACAAAATTAAGGACTCGAACTAAATTTTATTCTCAATTTCCCCCCTGTCGTACAAATTCTCAACATTTCATCCAATTTGCCGTTAAATATGAGGGCAAATTGGTCATTTCATATGTTAAAAATAATTAAATATTGTAAAATAAAATAGTATGACATATAAAATGAAAAAAAAATCATTTTAATACACAGAGGGGTGGGACCCACCCACCCTTTCTTCTCTCTCTGCAACTATTGCCTCTCTCTGTGACCAAACCCCTTCTTCCCTCTCTCTCTCTACGACTCCCTCTCTCTGCGACTCTGCCCCTCTCTCTCTATCTCTCTGCCCTCTTTCTCTTTCTCTCTCCATGCGACCAAACCCATCAGCCCCCACCCTCCAAACAGCCCCATTTTATTCAAATCTTGAATCCATTGATGAGTTGTGTGATTTGGGGTCGAGATTTTGGATGAAGGGGCAATGAACTTGTGAGGTGAAGAGGTTTGGACCCGTAAGGCTATGGGGGAAAAAATCATAGGGGAAAGGACGCAAATAGGTTTGGGTTTGTGTGTAGGGATAGGGTTTTATTTTATGTTTTTTGGATGCAAGGTGGGTTGCGAGTGGGGAAGAGGCTGGGTCACTGGCTGCTGTAATTCAATCTAGGATTGGAGTGGCTAAGCTTGGGGGATGGGGAGGAGTTGTTTTGGGTTGGTGAGATGAGGGGCTGGTTGTGGTGATGATGGGGAAGAAAGGTGATGGTTGTAGGGAGGTTTTTTTTTTCGCCCAAAAAAAAATTATTTTTAATCATTTAACTGAAAATTGGATGAAATGTTGAGAATTTGGACGGCATGAGGGAAATTGAGAATAAAATTTAATTCGAGTCCTTAATTTTTTTTTTAAAAAGGGTCAGAGAGTAAATTAATAATTAGGTACAAGTTCATGGAGCATTTCGCCAGTTTACCCATTGAACTATATGGGTTTGGGTATTAGTCTCCCATGGATATGGGTTATGTGTAATTGTTATCTTTGTTTCAAAAAGAAAAGAACATTCCATACATTTGAGAGTTCTGTTGACTGCTCTAAGTTTTAAAGATTACACAACTTGCTGACTGAGGACCATTGAACATCTACAGTGGTGTTGGATTCCCCCTACCTCTATGGCATCCAGAATCGAATTCTAGTAGAGTTTCTTTACTCTAATGTAAACAAAAAAAACAAAAAACAAAAAAGCACTAGAAAATATTGCCTTTCATAGAAAAGTTGTATCCTAGAATCTTGCTGCTTTATTTATACATAATGCAAATTATAATACAATTTTGGTTTTACTCCAACTCAAGTTGTTCCATTCTTTGCCTTCTTACCAAGTAAGCAACTGGACCAGATAACATCCTCTCTTTTTTAATTTTAAAAAAAAACCCAATTTGAAATAAACTATATATTTGAGTTGGAAATTATTAGTGTTGAATGCTTGAAACGTAGAGAGTAGTTGTTATGCATTCAAATGCAATCAATATGGTTTGTTTTGTATCAGCAAGCAAAAAGGAGGACCAAATCAAGAAGGGGCCTTTTCCCTCTAAAGCTTTGCTTGTGTCTGAAGCATGTTTAGCCAATGAGTGTGCCATAACATTTGCCTCTCTTTTGGGTCTAGTGGCAGATTTTCATAGCAATTATCACTAATGAAAGGCAAACCTCCGAAGCCAGTTGTAAATCAACAATTGTGGCCAACAGTTCAACCACCTCAGCTTCCATTCAAAATTAATGATCTTGTTCATTTCTGCTACCAACACCAACCCTGTTTTTGCTTCCCTGCTGGACACTAGGCAGTGCACCATCAATATTTACTCTCATGAGTAAATGTTGGTGCCTTCATGTCTTTACCATGCGCAATTATGGATGCAATTTTATTGACAATTTGTTACTTTCTTACATAAAATCAACAACCCATATAATGTTTTTGCATACATTTGTGCATTTTCAAAGGGTAGAGATAATACCACTCCAATTTTAGTTTCACCCACTTCCAAACTGAGTATTTTTATAGTTTTTTCTACTCATAATTAGAAAGTGTAGGGAAAGTGTCATTATCGCTACTATTTTCAAACGACAAAGAAAATTTCCAATTTGGAGTACACCGTAAAGAAAGATGTAACTCCCATATATAGTTTCATCCAACATCTTCAAATTTCTAATTATATAATAAATACACTGCAGAAAAATATGTGACTCCCATATATAGTTCCATCCAACATCTTCAAAACAAATATAGAAGCCCAAAGCTTGCAAAAGAGAAAGGTACAAAAGATGAAACTCCCAGTCCCAAAACCAATGTGCTACAATCTTTATAGCTAGATTAGATAGACCATCTCATAAATGGTCCAAAACCCCATAGGCTCTAATACATGTAACATGTCCAAGCAGCAACTTTATATATTGGGACCCCTAGCTTTGGTTGTGCCATTGAAATTCCAGCTTGCAAACATGATTTGCAGTTGAGCCAAAAATCATTCAAATTCATTAAAACAAACAAGACCCAATCTTTTTTCTCTTCTTCATCTTCTTTTTTTTTTAGGTTTTTTTTGACTCATCTTTTCATCATCGTCTTCTCATCAAAATCTTCTTAAAAGTCAAAATCTGGCAGTGAAAGAGATGTGAATGGTAATAAGTAGTAGTTGATAGGACGACAATGCCACAATGGACAAAATGGTTTGGGTCCGTAGGGCCCACTAATAGTCAGGGTGTGGGGTGGGGCCGGTGGGGTTTATTTAGATTCGTATACAGACTAGTCGTCAGACTTATTAAAAAAAAAACGCAACTTCGTAGTTTTTTCTCTCTCTCTTTTTTCTTCTTTCACCTTTCACATCGGCCAAAACAGTGCTTTTCTCTCTCCAGTCGCAACCAAGAAAAAGCGCTTATTAGAAAAACAGAAAAATAATACCCAAAATCAAAGAAGAATCGAATAAAGCAAAAGCTAAAAATATAAAGAGAAAAAAAGTTGGTTTTGCTACTACCCCGTACCCAGATCATTTTTGCTTCTTCCACTCCTTCGTAAGGGTAAAGTTGGGGTGCGAATAGTAAAAACAGGAAAGCGTCAGTGTTAAACGACACCAGACAAACGGCGATTCCAACGAAAGTCACTCCGCTTGTGCACAAGAAACGACACCGTCTCAAGACCAAACGTCGTCGTTTTGGGGCATGTTCCTTGGAAATATCAATTTGCTTTAACGTTGGAAAACGGTCCAAGACTCACACATTTGGTTTGTGTCTGAAAATATAAATTTAGCAGGAAAAAAAACACACGAAAAACACACAAAAAAACACAAAGCAGAGCATAAATGCAGAGATTTTCTCAGAAACACAAAAACACATACATCTACTGGAAATAGAATTTCTCAAAGCACTTGTTTTTTTTCTTTTTTCCAGCCCATAGTTTTCCGAGAAATTAATTGTCCCCACAAAAGCTCTCTTCTCTCTCACGTCTACTTCTCTAGTTCCACATCATCATCATCAACGCCATCCCTTCTCTGTTTGATTCCTCAGAAAACTGAAAAAGAAAACCCAAAAGAAAAAGAGACTTCCTGTCTTTCTTCCCCACTCACTCAGTTTCAGCTCCTTAAAACAGGAACCCAGCTCAGCTCATTCTAGCAACAAACCAAAGCTTTCTCCTTTCACCTCATTTTCTTTACTTCGTTTTCCTTTTGGTTTCTCCGCAGGCAAACTTTGACTGGAAACAGTTGTTAATTTGTCGCGTGTTTTTTGGTCGTTTTGTCTTTGGGGTTGTTTGGTGACTTGGGTTATGAGCAAATGGGGGACTCAGCTAAAGTGAGGTTGGTTCGGTGCCCAAAATGTGAGAATCTTCTCCCCGAGCTTGCTGATTACTCTGTTTATCAGTGTGGTGGTTGTGGTGCTGTTCTAAGAGGTATGCTTCTTCTTCTTCTTTCTTTGCCTTTTTATTTTTAGTTTCATTCTTTGCTTCATGTTTTTGCACAATGTGAGGATTATTTGGTATGGTTAGTGAGAAATTTGAGAAAAAAGAGAGAAACTTTACGTTTTGAATCATATGATTCATGTTGGCTGGAAACTCTTTACCTCCAAGTTTCTGACCAAAATGTCAATTTCTGTGACTTCTTGGTAACCAACGGCTACCTTACTGTTTGTTTCAAATCTTTATGGTTATAGTCGTGATTCTTGTTTTTTAATTCTGTTGAAGTTTCTGCTTGATTCATGTATGAGAAACCTTGGAAAATGGAATGAAATCACGATTTCCGGCCTTGAAATTAGGCGTGGTATATTCCCAATGCAAAACCAAATTCCACACTAACACAAACACACAATCATTTGGATTTGAGAGGTTAAGTTTTTTAAACCTGGAAAACCAGATATCGAACTTAACAGTAGCATTACCATCAACACATTTCCTACTCAAGGATCCTAATATGAACGTCATTACATAAAGCAAATTTCTTATGTTTGAGTTTATTTTGTGTGTCTCTAAAATTGAGGATCAAATATTCATTTCTCTCGTTTACAGCAAACAAGAAAAGGCAAGAGGGGGATACTTTGTCCATGAAGTCGGATGAAGAAAGGGTTGGAGGAGTTTCTGCTAAATCAGATGATTCAGATGATAAAGGAATAGTTGTTTTGACTGATGCCTCTGATACTGATGTTAAGTCAAGTGATGGCTCTTTGAGGTTTGATCTCGGGGATTTAGAGAAGCAAGATGTTAAAACTGCTGAAATCTGTAGGAAGCAAGCCAAAGAGACGACTGATAACGGAGCTGTCGAGGATGGCGTAGGTATGAGCGTGGAAAGAGATGAATTGAGCAATGCATTGGGAAGAGAGCATGGAGATTTGAATGCGGAATTGAGTTCCATGAGTGAAAGCCGAAGATCAGGATGGATGGCAGATTGGCAAACTTGGGAGAATGGTGAAAGGGAGCGGTATCGAAGACATCCAAGAATTGATGTTGAAGGTATGAGGTCTTCAACTTCAAATTATCCAGATGAGGGTACATCAAATTACCATTTGGGTTCTTCTCATAGGGGTGGGGAACCATTGAGGAATACTAATGACCCAAATGGGGCAAACAGAGTTCTGTACCTCGAACAAGACCGAGCTGAGCTTCTAAAGAAGCTGGATGAGCTGAGGGATCAACTTAGCCGGTCTTGTGATTTGGTTGATAAGCCGAAAGAGAAAGCTCCCCTTGAAGCGGGGATGGTTCCTCCAGATCCTTATGGTAGTTCTGACGCTTCATACCCAGGAGCTTCTTCAGGGGCAAATAGGGCTTCAATGCAGTACTTTGGACCTGGTAAACATGTCACAGGACACTCTCATTTCAATCACTTTCCTGAGGCATTTCCCTACACCAATGGGCGTGAAATGCCTATGCCTAGCTTTTGTCCTTCCATGCATAATTCGAACCATTTTCCTGGATATGGGGATCCTTTTGGATCCCAAATGCTCAGTGGACCTCCTCATCCCTTTCCCAGGCAATACCAGCAACCATCTCATCCATACTTTTCTGGACAGTATGCTGAAAACAATCCTGATCCATATGAGCTTTACCCACATAATGCAACATTTCACCATCCTACTTGCCCTTGTTTCTATTGCTATGACAAACACAGAAGAGCTTCAGTGCCAGTTCCATCCACTGCTTTTCACAATAAAAGGTTCCCTGATTTCCCTAGCAATCCCATGTTGGCCCAGCCTGAAAATCCTGGGATGATTGGTCCATATGATCACAACAAACCTAGGACTGCAATTCCTCCACCCTTTCATGTGTCACAAGCCCATACAAGATGGCCAAGTGACCAACCCCATACAAGATGGCCAAGTGACCTTAACTCCCACATGGACAGTTTTGCTCATTCCCGTCCAGAGAGGGTGGTGCTAGCCAGTGGTGGCCGCCGATGTCTTCCATTTTCTGGTGGTGCTCCATTTGTAACATGCAATAATTGCTTTGAACTTCTGCAGCTGCCCAAGAGAGTACTTATTGGGGAAAAGAATCAACAGAAAATGCGATGTGGGGCTTGTTCTACAGTAATTGATTTTTCTGTTTCCAATAAGAAACTTGTCCTTTCCCATCATGCAGAAGCACAGCAGAATCCATCAGAGGTTAATAATAGCTTGAATGAGGTGGTCAAAGATAGTACTTCACTTTCCCATGGACGTGTCACCGGGGTCTATGCTCATTTCTCTTCTGATGATTATGATAATTCTGGTTATGATTTTCATTCAATAGATAGAGAACCTGTTTTACCGTCCACAGCCCCAAGTTCAACAAGAAGCAAGCCTCATGAGATGCAAAGCTTTCATTCTTCATCTCCAAGTACCTCTGAGGATGACTGCAATCCGGAAGCTCCAATTGCTCCAAAAGAATTCACAAATTCTATTCAGCAGCCAACCAAAGCCACTTTTTCTCCTCCACCTCCTGGTTCACCTCTACAGGAGCATTTTGAATTCTCATCTAACAGTCACGTGATAAACCGACTTGGGAAGGGAAACCGAAGTAGTCGCTCAGATCAAGAGAAGGTAAAACCAAATAAGGTTACCTCGCGACAAAATTCGTTGAAAGAGACATCACTAGCAACTGAGATGGAGGTATCATTTAATGAGTACTCTAACACTGGGGTTTCCCAAGATTCTTGGGACGCAAACAAAGAAGAAGATCAGCCAAGAACCAACAAAGGGAGTGAATCATTTATTACCAACTTTATTAAGAAAAGCTTTAGGGATTTTTCCAAATCAAATCAAACAAATGAGCATGGGAGAAGCAATGTTTCAGTTAATGGGCAATTAATACCGGATCGTGTGCTTAAGAAGGCTGAAAAGATGGCAGGAACAGTCCATCCTGGACAATATTGGTAAGTGAGCACTCACTAACACATAGTGAATTTCTTAGCATGTTTGCTTTTTGGAACTATGCTTTATAATCTTTTCGAACTCATAATGAGTGAAGATATGTGCGTTGTTGGAAGATAAAACATTTGTTGGCCTATATTCTAATAGCTTAAGGTTTTTGGAAAAGTGAATAACCAATACTACTAATCATGGTAGCAGCGGAATAGATCCCGAATTAAAATCTCTGTAATGTATGTTGAATTCCATATGTTGGGCTCACTAGAGTTGGGAGAGCCCACATGTGAGGGCTAACAGTATACTTCAAGGATAGCTTACTGTTCCATCTGTAATCTCTCTCACCTCCTCCATTGTACTTATGTCTTTGCCTTCAATTTCTTAAAACAGGTATGATTTCCGAGCTGGATTCTGGGGTGTCATGGGTGGGCCTGGTCTTGGCATGATTCCTGTAAGAGAAATTTTTACACTATTATCAATGCATAAGCTATTAGTTATATTGGTTTTCTGCTTAATGTTGATGGAGAATTCTTTTCTTTTGCAGCCATTTATTGAAGAATTCAATTATCCCATGCCTCAGAATTGTGCTGGTGGAGATACTGGTATCTTTGTGAATGGAAGAGAGCTTCACCAAAAAGATTTAGATTTGCTGTCCAGTAGAGGACTTCCCACAACCAGAGATAGATCTTACATCATAGAGATCTCGGGGAGAGTCCTAGATGGGGACACTGGTGAAGAGCTTGATTGTCTTGGCAAGCTTGCCCCAACGTAAGCACTAATTCTTTGATGGCTGCTTCTTTTAGTTCGTTCTACTTGTCAATTATTCTAGATAGTAAAGTGTTGCTATTATCATGATGAGCAGATAGGCGTATTTAAATCTTTATATTGTCGTTTATCGTGGAAATGTTGGTTTCTGTTATGGTTGGAACTTAGAATGAAAGACATGTTGAATATTTTGGACATAGATACTCTAGGAAGATACCTTTAACAGAATATGCTGTGAACATTCGTTCATATATTATACTTCACTTCACATGCTGCATGTTTTAGCCACTTGGTTGTCAGCATCTCTTTACAATTGTACTGATGCTATTGTATGTTTTAGCAATCTTCTTGTTTCCTGTTTGGTTTTCCATGAATATTATACTTGTCTAAAATCTAAACATCCCACCAGCATCTTTGGGCATTTTCTAATGTTCCGTACTTTGACCCTTTGAACAGGGTTGAGAAGGTACAAAGGGGATTTGGCATGAAGCTTCCAAGAGCTGCTGCATAATCAACTTGTATAAATCACTAGGTGCATCTGACATGTGGAGAACCTCAAGTCTTCCATCCTGAATTGGAAAGTAAAATTATAAGGGTTAACAAGGGGAAAGAAAACCGCTCCGAGAAAATTCTTTGAACTGTTCTGTACAACATTGCAGAACACTGGAAATGAATGATAAACTGTTGGATGGTATGTAGTCTAGTTTTATCTGAAATCTAGTATAGCTGTTTCTGGTTTGATATTTTATTGTGTATGTAGATCATGCAAGCTTCTTTGAGCTGACTTCAAATATTATGTATATGGTTTTTTCTTGTTATCTTGCTATTATGATTTTTGTTCCATTGGTGCTTAACCATTCAAAGAATGTGCAACAGACCTCAGCAGCTACTACTAGTCAGTATTTCCCTCTTTTTTGTGTGTGATAAACTACTACCTGTGAAGGGGCTGAGGCAATCTTGGGACCAAAAAAAAAAAACTGAACGGAGTTGTGAAATTCAGACCAAGCCAATGATTGGTTTGTCTGGTGCAAAAAATGCACAAAGACATGCAATTTGCATGGCGGCCTCAGGACACAATGGCTACCCAACTTGCAGTCTTGCACTGCATGGAGTTAGGGCGTTCAGTTGACCTCAAATAGTGGGCTCGCCCCAATCTCAGCCTAGTGCTCAGAGCCCAGGACCAGGGCCATGCCAAAGAAAGAAGGAAAGTTTTTTATTTTTTTTTAACGGGGAAGATTTTCTCATACACAAAGGTGTTATGGGGATTCGAACTTGAGACTACTCTTGTACAAATCAAAGTTTTTTCAACTAAACTAGATTCCGTTGACAGGAAAGAAGGAAAGATTAAGAATGGCTAATTGGAATTCTTGTATAATAGACTTATTTCCATTGTTGCAAAGAAAAAAAAAATTGTCAATTTTGTCTTTTGTTTTGGATTGGTTAAGTACCATTTTCTGTATTGGTTCAGTCTTCATACTTTTTTTTTCTTGAGAAGGGAGAATTGTGGAAGCAAGAGAAGTGAGCTGAAGACATTGCAGTCTGCAGAGTGCAGATGATAAACCCATAAAGTAAAGGCAGTTCATGGAAATTGACAAATGTGATTGAAATGAAAGCTCTTTAAAGCTTTCGCTTTCCCTAGGGGCCAAGCCCCAACTGGTCCCCCTCCTCACATTAAACCCTCGGAAGTTTTTTCTAATTGCCACAAAAATGCAGACATAAATTGGTTTTTCTTTGGGTTTTGCTTATAAAATATAATAAACTTAACTATAAACGCTATGCCACTTTAAACTATTTTAGTTCTATGTTAAACCATTGTATGTGTTTTTCCTTATTTCTCCGTCTCATTTCATTTCTTTCTCTCTTCCCTTTCTTATCAATTGATTCCGGAAAGCTAAATACAGGGATTCGGAATCTTGTTAATAAAACACAAAAGTTTTTATTTCTATAAAAAGATATCAAAGAAATGCATGAACCATAATGAATTCATTGACCTAATCATTTCAAATGCATAAATTGTATCTATTAATTTGAAAACACGTGATTTGACCCCCCCAAAAAAAAATTGAACTAATCATCCAGCAAAGAAAACAAAAGTATCATCAAGGTTGGCAAACATGCAACGGCTTGTGGAAAAGGTCTTAACTTGTATATCAATGGTCTCAAATTCAAACTCCAATAACACATTGACAATGTATGTGAGAAAACCCCCATCCTCCCTCATAATTTTTCCAAAAAAAACATGTAACATCCCAAATACATAAAAGGCAAAAATCAAGTGATTAGTGTACAAAATCTGGGTTTGGGGTTCAGGTGATCCACCTAATAAAGTTCTCTCTTCTTCCCAAGAAAATAAAAATAAAAACATAAATTAGAAAGCTGGTCCAGTGTTGATGTAAATTAGACTTTAAAGCTCCACTAGAAGCTCAAGCCAGCTGTTTTGAGATAATCTAATAATCTATCCACTATTAAAATTCAGATAAAAGGTTTGAGGTGGGTAGGGCATGTGCATTGATCTATGTATTCAGATCAATGAACAAAATATCGATAATTCATGCACACTGGGGTTTGAACCCCTCCCCCTATCCAAGTTCTGAGCCACTTAACCACCACGCTACATAAAATACCCTTGGTTAATGCAAACATTAAGAATTGAAATTATTAATTAAATGAGGATAATATGGTAAATTCACACTTTTTAACATTAAAAGAAATTAAAAGAAAATTCAGATAAAAGATTCTATTTTTATGGAACACAACTACCCATTATCTTTTATAATTCTAAAATAAATTTAAATTTTTTTAAAAAAAGCCTCACGTAGGCGCGGAAGCGCGTCTGGAGATGCTAGTTGATATAAAACATGGGAAATAGTTAGGGGAAATCATTAGAATGTGAAGTATTGGAAAGAATTTAAATTCTCATTCCCCAATATCGCTTATACAAACAAAATAATTGAAGAAATGACTCTAGCCAATGAACAAAATATTGATAATTTCGCCGAAATCTCGGCGTTTATTTATCGTCAATTTATCGATAATTTCCTCGATGATATCGCGATAATTTCAGTAGCGATATTTTCGTTCAAATGACAGCTGCAAATGGTCAATATATCGCGATATTATCGATAATATCGCAATATGAACTTTCAAAAATGAAATAATTCATTTAAACTCACGCACACAGGGGTTCGAACCCCTTTCCCTGGCGAAGTTCTATGCCACTTAACCACCACGCTGCTCCTCACTTTGTGATTAGTACCTTCGGAATCTTGTATTTATAACTCTTCCAAGCTGTTTCTCAAAATAGAAAATAATTACTTATTGTTCTATATTGTTGACCAAATATTTAATTACTTAATATAATTTATTTCTTTCCTATTTAATCCATTTAATGTTATTGCTTATTTTATTATTCATTATAAGTACTTACATTACTAAATTCCCCTTCAAATTGTTGCTTAATTACTTAAATTTCTATAATTATTTTCTTTATTTCCTATTTAATTCTTCCTTGGATAACTTTATTTATGTTCTTACTTAATTTTCAATCTTTATTTTTTAAGGTAAAGTGCTTAATTTTCATGACAAATCAAGTTGGTTTACATCTTTAATTATTTTTCAATTTTTGATAAATAATAAATATAAGAACGTGTACCATGTCATGATGTCCAGTGAAAAATGTAAAATAAAGTTACTCATGTATCTTACCATGCAATTTATAAAGTGTAAAATATTGTAGTAAAAATGATAAATAAATTACTACATGGTGTTTAATTTTCTTTCATTAATTACTCTAGATTTTCTAAGTCACAGAGTTTGTCAGCTCACAATATAATCAACTTAAATCACTCAAACCTACTATGCAATGCATTTCCTTCCAATTTTTTGTGTTAAAATAATAGATAATTGACTAAATAAACTTTTTACAAAGTTTCATTAAAAATTTCCATGTTTTTATCACAATTTCCGTGGTTTTTATCTAATTTTTATCGATATCGATATTTTCCCGATATTTCCATCGATATTTCCGTGTTTTTGAACCACCGATATTTCCGAAACCCTCGATATTTAAGACCTTGATTCATATACAAAAATATTATATTTAGAGCATATCTTAGGACATACATTGTTTCGTTTCCCCTAGTGCGCATGTTACATGCCCATGTATAAATTTATCAACCCAAAAAAGGAAAGAAAAACCCACCCAAGTTTTATTTATTAATCAACATTATGTTGGAAAATTTGGTTGGTGGATGCAAAACATCACACAATATAAATATTAGTAAGTTAAAAAAAAACAATTAAATTACAGCGAAATACTTATCTTTTAGAATATAGAACCCAATTTTTATAGATTTTCACTCGCAATACTTGAGTTGGGTGAACAACTTGAATTTTCCCTTGAGAGATAAACTAAAAATTGAAAGCACAATGTGGGAGAGAGAGAAGTGAGAAAATTGCTCAAAATGTTCTCCTACTTCTTACTTAGTTCAAAAGGTTTAAATAGAATGTGTTTTATTTTTTATCAATTAAATAGAATTGAGAAAGTGATCTGAGCATATTGAGAAAGTTATTCATAAACAACCGAAAGATGAAATTTTGAATAACCGACTACGACTCAAGGCAACAATTTAGAGTGTTCGGTGGCTTACATTTCAAGCATGTGCTTTTAGAGGTCATGATGAATCTATAGACTCAATGAATCGTGGAAATTTCATTGAATTGATAAAATATACAGTACAATGGAATAATAAAGTTGCAAAAGTTGTTTTATAGAATGCCCCGAGAAATGTTAAATATACTGCACCATTGATTCAAAAGCAAGTTTTACATATTCTTGCTGACAAAGTGAGAAACAAAATTCGTAATGAAGTTTGGGAATCAACTTATTGTATTCTTGTTGATGAAGCAAAAGATGCATCTAATAGAGAGCAACTGGCCATTGTTTTAAGATTTGTTGATAAGGATGGTTTTGTACGAGAATGTTTTTTGAGATTGTGAGGGTTGAATATACTAGTTCATTGACACTTAAAAAAGAGATATCTCGGGTTCTTATGAATTATGATCTCCAAATTGATAAAATGCGAGGTCAAGGATATGATGGTGCTAGCAACATGTGAGGTGCATGGAACGGACTACAAGCATTATCTCTTAGAGATTGCCCATATGCATATTATGTGCATTGTTTTGCTCACAGGCTACAATTAGCATTAGTTGCAGCATCAAAAGATGTGGCTCCTATTTGGCTATTCTTTTCAACACTGAATTCCATTATCAATCTTATTACTGCTTCTCCCAAGTGCCATGGTGAGTTACAATCTACCCAAGAAATTGATATTGCACATATGGTTGACACTGGTGAACGTGAGACAGGTAGATGGCTTAATCAAATTGGTACCTTGCATCGGCCTGGAGCTACTCGTTGGGGCTCTCATTATGATTCTTGTTCGAATTTATTAAATATGTTTAATGCATCTTGCACAGTTGTTGAGACCTTGATTAAGAATGGAGCCTCTAATTCTATACGTGGGGAAGCGACTAGTACGTTCAAAGCGATGACATCTTATGAGTTCATATTTATCTTGAATTTGTTAGAAAAAATTATGGGACTTACTGATAGCCTTTGTCGAGCATTGCAAAATAAATCTCAAGATATTCTGACTGCTATGAATTTTGTTCATAGTACAAAAGATGCTCTTTAGAAATTAAGATTGAAGGGTTGGGATACTTTCTTTGAGGAAGTGGAATGATTTGGCAAAAAGCATGACATCAATATGCCTGATATGAATGCTCCTTATAAAGTTGGTACACGTCGTTCTTGTTAGCAACATGATGATATTACAATTGAACATCATTACCAGGTTGATTTATTCAATAATACAATAGATTATCAATGGGAAGAGTTAAACAGTAGATTTAGAGAAGGAGCAATGGAACTTCTTAGTCTTAGCTCTGCTTTGGACCCTAGCAATGGTTTTAAATCATTTAAGATTGATGATATGTGCAAGTTTGCAGAGAAATTTTATCCTCAAGATTTCACTGTTAACGAATTACGTTTATTGAGGTGCCAACTCGAACTTTTTGAGTTTGAAGTACACCAACATGATCTTGATATCTTTCAAAAATGTCCACTCTTTTAGAACTATGTCAAGTATTAATTAAAACAGACAAGCAAAGGCATATTATTTGATTGATAGGTTGATTCGTTTAGTGTTAACTCTTCTGGTTTCTAAGGCAACTACGGAACGAGCATTTTCAGCTATGAAACATGTTAAGACTGTACTTCGCAACAAAATGGAGGATGAGTATCTCGCAGATTCCCTCATTGTCTACATTGAGAAAGAGCTTTATATGGATATTGATTCAGATTCAATAATCAAAGATTTTGATACACTCAAAGAGAGAAGGGTTCCACTTCACTAGGTAAGCTCTTTAAAATTTTTTTGCAATCAAACATATTTTTTTGAAGTTGGACAATATGTTTGATTTGATATTTATTTATATTTTGTACTTTTTTGTGTTATATTTGCTTGTAATATGACTTTATTTGATTTATAAAATTTTATTTACATTTTTGTTTCATGAGAAAAAAAGCTTATAATATATCTCCTCTATAAAAAAAAATTATTTAGCCTAGTCCTATAAAAATTCCTGGATCCGCCATTAAATAAACGTCAATTCAATTACTACCCAACGTCCACATAATTTAAACAACAAAACTTATTGCCAAAATAACTGTACCAATTAAATATCAGAAACATACCAAAGGCTTAACACCCAAAACAACTAATAACAAATTTAAATACTATTTTGGCTTCATAATTAGACAATAAATTAATTTATTGACCCTATTAGCTATAGCTCCTTTGTTTTGTCAACTCAAAAACAGAAAAAAGTTTAATTGTCCATTTCATGAACCAAACAGAGCCTTGCAAGCTGTATATCCCAAAACCAAAACACAGAACACAAACTCACGCACGCCGGTGGCAGTGTGCAGCAGACAATACGTCTCTGTAGACTGTAGTGTTTTTCAGACATTACTAGCCACCTAAAATATATAAAAAAACCTCGTTTGGTGGTTTGTTGCCAAAAACAGCTCATCTTGAACACTTTTTGTTTTTTTTCAAAAAAATTAACTTATTCTGGTTCAGAAAGTTTTCTGGCCTCCTCCTCCGGCCCCAAATGTTGAAGGAGATGAGGTTTGAATCAAAGCCAGTATTGTCATTTCACAAACACAACCGTCTACTTGTGAAGTTTGCTGCCTCTTTTCTTTTGTTGGGTCTCGCTTTTCGACTCTTCTATTCTGATTCTATTGGATTATCAGTTGAGCCACCTCCTCTTGCAGACCAAGAAACAGAGCCTTCCTCTGTTCCATCTTTTCATTCTCAAACTCCTCCTCCTGGTCCTGTCGATTTTCCTGGAAACAGCAGCCAAACATCTCAAAATGGTAAGTACTTTTCTGTTCCCTCTGTCTGTGTCTGTGTGTGTTTTTGTTTGGTTGGAGCCAAACATCTCAGAAATGGTGGTTCATTCTTTTTTCTGGGGACAGAGTGGATGAGTCTGTGTCTGTAAATGTACTAGGCTTGAGAAAGTTTCCTTTTTGACACTAATTTATTTTTCCCATCTCCTTTCCTATCACATCCTCCATGCATGAATGATGAATTAGCAATTTCTTCATTTGAAAACTCACCAAAATTTCTCATCTGATTTCTCTCTCTACTTGATTTTTGCAATTTTGTTAGTGAATTCTGTTTTCTGTAACTGTTGATGAAAAACTCAGACAAAATAAGGTCGCTGCACTGTAAAGTTAAAAAAGCCTTTCTCATAATGCTTCTTTGAACCTTTGCTAGCCTCTGATTTATTTACTTTTTACAAATGTAGTGGCAGTAAAATGTGACATTTTTACTGGAGATTGGGTACCAGACTCATCAGGACCAAGATACACTAATGAAAGCTGCCGTGTTATGGAATCTCATCAAAATTGTATGAAGAATGGCCGCCCTGATTCAGGCTACATTTACTGGAGGTGGAAGCCAAGAGACTGTGAGCTACCCAAGTTCAATCCACAAAGGTTTCTTGCTCTAATGAGGAACAAATGGTGGGCTTTCGTCGGCGATTCGATCTCGCGTAACCATGTGCAGTCATTGATTTGCATCCTCTCTCAGGTACATTTTAAAGCATTCAAGATTGCTTAGATCAAACTAAAATTTGTTGATTTTGTTGAAAAATGGCATTTTACTTGCAATTGTTGAAACCTTAGCCACTTTTTCTCTTTGGAGATTGAATGGAAACCTAGTTAGATTAAACTATGTTGTGTGGGGACATGTGGTTTATGTGTATGAGTCACGGGGCTTAGGTCTTACTGGCTTTGCTTCCAAAAATCATTCAAACTTTTACTTCGCTTCTCTGGCACGTCTGTCTTAACTCTTGATCTTTAATTAGCGATCCTAATTCCAACAATTAATTTTGATTTTAGTTGTGGACTACAGCTGCACTTTCATGGTGACCACTGCTTTCTAATTGGTTATAGAGTCTTTTTCATAGCAAGTTTACCTACCATGTATGTGGGATCATAATTGGTTCAGATTCAACGTCGTTTTTGGACCTTTAATGATTGCTGGTGTATGCATAGCTCCAATAGGTTTTCATATGTAATTATCAGCATGAAAGAATATAGAATTGTTGACCGACTAGTTCTTGATTTAGTGGTACTTCTTTTTCCAATGTGTTGGAAAAGGCCCCGAGTTCGAAAGAGTCTACAATTGTCACTTATTACCCACTAGAATGTCAAAATTTCCCAGCTTTCCTAGCTTTGTTGGTAAGGGAGTCTTAGACAAGCCAATAGTGAAATGGCTTTTAGTTATTGAGAGTTGTGTTAAAAACATAAAAAATCGAAGAACTTTTTGGGTGTGATCATTTAGGAAATTGGAGGATATGATATTTGAGCCAAGGACCTGCCTTGTAGTTGTAGAGAAGAGATGTGGTTATGAATTGAGTAACTTTTAGCCACAAAAAATGGGATAATTGAGGTCCTGATTTTTGAGCTAAGGACCGCCTTATATGGTATATTTTCATTTAAGCCCTATCTATATTTTCATTCAAGTTCTAACCCCCACGACACCTTGATAATGTGTGTGAGACAACCCCCCTCTCACAATATCGCTTGTATAAAATAATAATAATAATAATAATAATTTTTTAACCATATAATTCCTGTATAGATACAGGACCTACCATGATCTGACATGTTGTAGATTAAACTTGCTGCCTCAACTGGTTATCTGTTTGTGACTTGTTTTATAGCGTTGCATATATTCTTTGATGGCTTTCGATTATTTGGTACCAAAATGTTGATCACATTTCAGTGGTTATGTCCCCACAGGTGGAGCAAGCTGTTGAAGTATACCATGACAAAGAATACAGGTCTAAAAGATGGCATTTCCCATCTTACAACTTCACCCTTTCGGTAATTTGGACTCCGTTCCTCATTGGAGCAGATATTTTCGAAGACATGAATGGAGTTTCTACTTCCGAAATTCAGCTTTATCTTGACAAGATCGACAAGACATGGACTGATCAATACAACAGCTTTGATTACGCGGTGATTGGCGTCGGCAAATGGTTCCTTAAGACATCAATTTACCATGAGAACAACACAGTCAGCGGCTGCCATTCCTGCCCCGGAAAGAACTTAACTGAGTTAGGATTTGAGTACAGCTACCGCAGTGCTCTCCGTGTGGTTTTCAATTTCATCACGCATTCGGATCATAAAGCGTCTGTATTCTTCAGAACCACCACGCCAGACCACTTTGAGAATGGAGAGTGGTTCAGTGGTGGGCATTGTAATAGATCGGTGCCGTTCAAAGAAGGTGAGGTTGATTTAAAAGATGAAGATAATGTAATGCGTAACATTGAGTTGGAAGAATTTGAGAAGGCTGCAGCCAAAGGATCCGAAGAGAGGGTGAATTTGAAGCTACTGGACACAACCCATCTCTCATTGTTGAGATCTGATGGGCACCCAGGTCCGTACAGGCAATTCCAGCCATTTGCCAGGTGAATTTGAAGCTACTGGACACACCCCATCTCTCATTGTTGAGATCTGATGGGCACCCAGGTCCGTACAGGCAATTCCAGCCATTTGCCAAGGATAAAAATGCCAAAGTTCAGAATGATTGCTTACATTGGTGCTTGCCTGGGCCAATAGATACTTGGAATGATTTGGTGATGGAATTGTTGGTCAACGGTGACAAATATCGATGACCAAACCATTTTATTTACCTTGGCTTATTGACCTCTCAGAATTCTTGGCCGGAATCAAAGTTTTGTGTTTTCGGATTTAAGGTTCGGAAATACTTCATAAGCATTTGCAGGGGTTGTTTATCCTGTGAGCAATTCTGTGCGTTAAAGAACAGGGAAGCCATGAAACGTAGAGAAGGCTTGCGAGCTCGCAAAGATGTGTGAACTTTTTATTTTTTTGCTGTTTCAGATTCTTTGGCCAAGCTGCAAAATCTTATACCCTTTGTATTACACTTAACTTATCTATGAAATCACAAATCCTATAAAAATCCCTTCATTTCTGTAAAAGCCTAGTATCTGTCTTTACTGAACAGAAAAGCATGCAAAAGGACGCATATTTATATTCAAGAAGCTATTTACCTGACTATTTACCAGTCGTCCTGCCACAAAAAAAGAACTACTAGCATTATGTAGAAATCCAAAAGTTCATCTTTAGGAAGCCATTTACCAGTCTCCCTGCCTCACTAGTTCTATCTCCAAGTACTATTGCTGGGATCCAATGAACTAATAAACCAAAGGGTAAAAACAGATCACATCAACTCTTGAAATGAAAGCTCTTATAATGAAAGCAAATCGAATTTCATGGATTCTTAGCTTGATTCAAAATCAAAGCAATGTTAGGACAACAGAGAACACAAATGCAGGGAACTTGCTCCACAACCTTCAAATCAGAACTCACATTTCAATTCTGGATTATTAACTAACAAGTCACATCTGAAAGTGCAACATCACCACAAGTTTGCAGAACAACATGTTCAAGAAATATAGACAGAAAGCTAAAAAGCTTGGGTCGCATTGAAAATGCAACTCTTCACCTTTCTCCTCTTATTTGCTTGAAGTGGACGCTTCTGCCTTCCTTGGCTCCGACTTCATCCAATCCTGCGTAATTAAACATAATGCTAAATACAATGTTCATGTCTCAAATCAAATTCAGCAAATATACAACACAACCCTGCTCTTGCTTCAAAAAATTCAAGCTGTTGTTCTAAGAAAGTGGCAGCTGTTTTATACATTTAATTGCAATTTTTTCAAACAGCAATTGAACATATTAAACCACAGTAAGCCTCAATTTGGTAAGCTAAAACACTGGATTTAGTATCATTTTGCAGGAATTTAGGCATATTAAA